TCCTTGCACCCTGTATGGGGCATCCCTCTGCCAGTGGAAACACCACAAGCACCAGCGCACCTGACCCCTAGGAGCCCTGTTCCAATCTCTCTAGCTCATGACTGGGGAAACGCAAGCCAAGACAGAGCGTCCCGGCTGGCAGGTGCCAGGCCCACCTGGCTCTAAACACAGAGAACAGATGGGAGAGACACACGAAGGGCCGGACCTCACCAGGAACGGTGGCCTTGCCCCCGGCCTGGAGCTTCCTGACGGTCACGGGAAATGGGAAACAGGCAGGCAGAGACTCACTGCAAACACAGACACCTGCATCTCACCTGCACACGCTCCGACATACCCCCAGCCAAACAGAGCCAGGGAGCCAGGTTCTCTCCCCATTTTGTCCTCTGGGACCCCCTCATCCTTTCAAACAGATGGACCGCTCCAATTTCCTGCCTCTTCTTTCTTCTTCTTCTTCCTCTTTTTCTCCTTCGTCTTCTTTTTCTTCTGCTGCTGCTGCTGCATTTTTTTAGCGCGGGCCAGGGGCTGTGCAGCAGCTCTCCCATTTCCAACGCCCTCTCCCCTGACCTGAGGCTCTCTGGTGGCAGTGCCTTCTCATCGTGGCTACTTGGGACCCTGCCGCTGGGGGCTTCCCGCCGAACGGCGAACACCGTAAACACAAAAAAGGACCGAAAACATTGAAAGCCAGTGTTGACACAGGGCCAAGGGTAAAAGAACAGAGCTTCAACCCTCAGGTGCCAGAAATAAAGCAGAAACTGAGCCAGGGGTGAAGGAACATTGCTTCCGCGGGAAGCAGACAGATAACGGACGCAGATTGGACCCTGGGGGCTGGAGGAATGTCAGTGCCCACATCAGGCAGGACGGACGTCGCAGATACCTACCTGGCTGCAGCCCCCTAGAACAAGTCCGGGGCTTGCTCTCACAGCCTCGCCGGATGGCAAACCCAGTGGACGCCCTGTGATGCTTGCTTCGCCTACGAAGTTTGCTGCATTAGGCAGCCCCCTCCCTCCTCTGAAAGGATCGCTCCCCTGACCTCCACCCCCTCTCTCATGGTTTTCTTTCATACTCCCTTAAATGTCAGTCTTCTCCGGGATTTGTTAAAAGCCTTCTTTCCCTACAGGTTTCATTCACTACCACGGCCACCTTTACCATTTCCATGCAAATCACCCGCCTTCCAAAACCCCATGCCCGCCTCTTTGCCACAAGGCACCACAGCCTACTCACCTCCGTGAATGCCTGGGAAATTGCTCCCTTGAACCCCTGGGTGAGGGAGCCGGGGTATGAACACCCCGGCTCCCACATCCCCTAGCCTGGGAACCCTGGGCCTTGTCCTCCCGAGACCGCCTACACAATCCAGCTCCGAGCATCCCCTGTGGCCTCAATATCACACATTTGAGAGGCTGTCCTGCCTCCTCCACATCATTTCTCCCCCACCTTACTAATATTCTTGACATTTCCCAGTCACTACGTTTGCTCATGCCTCCTAGAAAACCTCACACTCCAACATTTATTCAACCACCCTTTCCCCGAAGCAGCTGCACCTCCTGCACCTCCTGCTTACTCCATCTCGGGATATGACGTCACCTGTTATCTAAGTTTCTGTCCGTTCCTCTTCACGACCTCAGCGAAGACCTCAATTCCGCCACCCGCCTCTCGTCTTCCCAAGTCCAGTCCTGCCCTCCTCCACCCATCTCCCACACTTCCCTCAGGCTGTTTCTAGAATGCCAGCTCCTCCACTCATTTCCAGAGATTCAAATCTTCCAAAGCCTCCCTCTCGCTAAGGAGAAACCCCAAACTGTTCAGTGTTACATTTAAAAACCGAAATACGCGTCTGCACACCTCGAGCGCTGTCCTGGCCCATCCCACGCCTGAAACGCATCCCCAGCGGAGTACCTCTCCGGGGTTGTCACACCATCTGTCTGCTCCCCTGTCTTCCCAGCTGGGCTTATGCAGCAAGCCTCCACAAAACCTGTTCCTCCCTGTGCCCCAACCCCCTGAACATCGCCTGGTGCATCACGGGAACTGGGTTCATACACCTGACTCAGCCAATGAAAGAATCAATAAACTTGAGTGTAACGAACACTTGCGTATGTTTTTATTCACCCAACACCTTGGCCCATCTGAGTGTTTAGGGAGCTCTAACTTCAGAGCTTAATAGGAGGCAAAAACGCCCCTCGGCAGGTGCTGAGTGTGTGACGATCTTGCTTTCCCAGACTCCCTTGCAGCTGGCCCTGTGAGCGAGGCTCTCCCACCCGGACCCGGGGCAGCTGGGACACTGGGACCAAGGGTGGGGCTCAGGATGAGAAGGGCAGGGAAGGGGGCTCCTGCTGCCAAACCCTCATCTGCCCATCCTTCCGTTTCTGTGTGCCTCTCTGTTTCTCTCTTCTCTTTTGGTCTCTGTCTCTTTCTGACCTTTTTATTTACCTCTTTATGTTAACTCTCTGTCATGGTTTCTCCCCTCCTTTTCTCTCTCTTAATTTCTCTGTCTCTCTCAGTCTCTGTCTCTGACAGTCGGTGCGTGCATGTATCTCTCTGTCCTTCTCTCTGGCAGGGCTGCCGTGGAAGTATCTGGAAGGTCGTGCTTAGGTACAGACTGTGCTCTGCGGTGGCAGCCACAGTGAAGGCCAGTTCCTGGTGTCTCATGCACAGCGGCCACAGCACAGGGCCCTCATTGACTGGTTGTGCAGCACAGTCTGGACAGTGTTCTGGAAGCTGAGCTGTAGGCTGGTTCTCCAGGACCCCCCATCGACGATCCTGTGACCTACCCAATATCCTCTTAAGAAACTCCTCTCTTATTTAGGGGTGCCTGGGTGGCTCAGTCGGTTGAGCATCCGACTTTGGCTCAGGTCATGATCTCACAGTTTGTGACTTCAAGTCCCGCTTTGGGTTCTGTGCTGACAGCTCAGAGCCTGGAGCCTGCTTGGGATTCTGTCTCCCTCTCTCTCTCTCTGCCCTTCCCCTCTCCCTCAAAAATAAACAAACATGAAAAAAAGAAGAAGAAACTCGTCTCTTGCTTAAACAGCCAAAGCTGATTGTGTTGCCCAGATAAGAACATTGACCGAGAGGAAAAGCTTTGACCATTAGGAAAGCTGCTTATAGAATTATGAAAACTCCTAATAAATAAAACATGTAAAAAATCTTTACAATTGATGAGAACTCGAGAGAGCCTTCGATATTTGCTGACACAACACCCCCAGTGTGACTGCTGAAAGACTGGGTTTCCAATCCTTGCAGCTCAGGAAGACTCGGCCCAGTCTGGAAACCAGGCCTTCTGACCCCAAGCTGCCATACCACTTCCTCGGAAGCCGTGGTCGAGCACTTCCGGGCAACATATGTCCAGTTGGAAAAAGGAAAGTCTGGACTTGATAAGACGCTCCACATCGTCTGTCATCAGGGAAATGCCAATCAAAACAAGGACACCCCACTGCACACCTGTGAGAACGGCCAGAATCTGGAAGCACTGAGAACACCAAATGCTGGGGACGACGTGGAGAAACACGAACTCTCGCTCACAGCCGGTGGGGATGCAAACTGCGCAGCCCCTTTGGAAGACAGTTTGGCAATTTCTTACACATTAAACATGCTCTTACCATGTGACCCGGCAACTGCACTCCTTGATATGCGCACAAAGGATTTGAGGACTTATCCCCACACGAAAACCTGACCCAGATGTTTACAGCAGTTTTGTGCCTAACTGCCAAAGCTTGGAAGCCATCAAGGTGTCCTCCAGTAAGTGAACGGATAAGGAAACCGTGGTTCATCCAGACAATGGGATATTATTCAGCGCTGAAAAGACATGCTCTAGGAAGCCATGAGAAGACACGGAGGAACCTTAAATGCCTATCACAAGTGAAAGAGGCCAATCGGAAAAGACTACAGTCTGTTTCCACCTCTGTGACATTCTGGAAAAGGCAAAACTACGGAGACAGTGATCAGTGGTTGGAAAGAGATCAGTGGTTGCCAGAGGGGAGAGGGGGGAGGGAGGGACGAATAGATGGGGCACGGAGGACATTTAGGGCAGAGAGACTGCTCTGCATGACACCGTAGTGGTGAATACATGTGTCCAAGCCCACAGAATGTATGACGCCCACAGTGAACGTTAATGCTACGGACCTGGGGCGATAATGATATGTAGATTTAAGCTCATCAATTGTAACATATGTTCCCTCTGGTGGAGGATGCTGATGGGGGGAGGTTGTGGGGAGCGGTCAGAGAGTATACGGGAAATCTCTGTGCCTTCTCCTAAATTTGGCTGTATACCTACATCTGCTCTAAAAAAAAATAAAGTCTTGATAAAAATATACTGTTTCAGTGATAGAAGAGGCCCATAGATTACAAAAGATTTGAGAGACACAAGGGGAGGGGAGGGGAGGGGAGGGGAGGGAGAAGGAAGGGAGACAGACATTGGTTACTTAAGGAGAACGCTCACAGCAGAAGCAGAGAATTGAGAAAGCAGCCTTGGCCTGTTGGAAAGTCCACCCCTGTAGGCTAAATGAAAAGCAACCAGCTCAGCTTTGATCAGAAAAGAGGGTGATGTCTGGGGCCGTCTGACAGGGAACACAGCTCAGCTACATACACTCGCCCCGGCTGGTGGCTTAGTGTCCCCTGAGGCCGCTTGTTCGGGCCCTGGGAGCCGCTCCAGCGGGGCCGCTAGCCTGAGCTGCCTTCTCCGGGAACTCCATCAGCATTGTCCAGCCTCAAAACCAAACAGAACTGGCCAGAGGAGCCAACCCCAGGTTTCCAGGCTGAAGGCTGAATCCGGTCGCAGCTAGATGGAGAAAAGTGGGTCCACGTGACTCGCAGCCTACTCGGGGCAAATGGCACCAGGGGTTATTTATTAGAATTTCACTCTGTGGGTTGCGACACCACCCTTCAGATCGCCCATGTGATTGTGCAACTCTCTGCCCTATAAATACAGACACTCCCGCCTCTGGAAGCCTCTGTCAACTCGGCCTCCGAGGAGCCTCCTTGGCCAGGCATCCGGGCCCAACCTGCCGGCCGCCATGAAGGCTCTCTGCTTCCTGCTGCTGGCGATGTGCCTCCTCTCCCGCCTGGCCCCAGGTGAGCTTTGGGACACCCTCGCCCTGGGCCAGGAAGCAGGGGCTGAGTTTGGAGGACAGCTGTCCTTGTGTCCCAGGGGATGGAGGGACGGAAAAGCATCCCCAAGGTTGAGCGGCCAGCTTGGGCAGGTGGCAACGGGCAGGCCTGCTGAGCCTGGGGCTGGGGGCCACCCCCGGGAGTGACAGACTCAGGTCTCCCCCAGTGACTGTGGCTTGGGGGCGGGGGGCTCTTTGCTGTCGGTGCTTGGCAGGGATGTGGGGCTGGTCTCGGGGAGCTGCAGCATCTCCCAGCCCCGTGTTTGCCTTGGACATCTAGGAAGTCTGCCGTGTGGAAGGGGACCACCCACTCCACCAGCAACGTGGCTCCCCGCACTGAGGGGCCAGCTCCCTATCCAGCCGAGGGAGGGGCAGGCTGCCACCCCGGCTCACCCCGGTCACTGGGTAGGGCCTCCCAGATGCCACGGCCAGAAGATGCCAGTTCTTTCGGGTCAAAACAGCAGTGCACCTGCTGTAAGAGGAGGCAGTGCAGCCAACTGGGGGACATGTTTTATCCTGGCCCCGCCACTCCCTCACTGAGTGGCCTTGAGCAACCCATGCATGCTGGGCCTCAGTTTCCCCATCTGCAAAACGAGTGGGCCACTGCAGGTGGCCCTTAGAGCACCAAAGCTCCGGAATTCTCTCAAAGATCAGATTGTGCTTCTCTGCAGGGCATCACATAGACGTGGCTTCTCCAAGCGTGACTCAGTCCCCCATCTGAAAACTGGGTCCAAAATATTCTAAGGCAGACTTTGAGTGTTTCCAGCCGGGATCTATCGGAGGGGTGGGGAAATCAACCTAATGAGTTGCCACCACATTTTTTCAAAAGAACAGAAAATACTAGTGCACGCCACACAGCGCACATCCGTGCCGTTTCGCCGTCCTCTTACTCCCGCGGGTGTGTGAATGTGTGTGTTTGTTCTCGGTGGCCGTGCAAAATCGCTTACTGTGGTTCAGTGCCAACTCAGAAAAGTTGGAAAGTCACTAGGTTAACCCGAAGAGTTATCAATCACTCCGTCACCTCTAAATACAATTTAAGCATGTCATTCAAAGTACAGAATATAAAAGTGTTTCCAAGGACGTGCAGGAACAACCGGACCTAGCAGTTAGACAAATGGTGGTGAAGAGCATTGAACACTTAGCGTATGCAGGATTCACTCAGACTCTCCCCGGGGGATCTACCCCGCGCTGCCCTCCCGACAGCACGTAAAGCCCGTCTGCACAGCCCTGCCAGGAAATGGATTCCTGGGGACGGGACTAAGTTTACTGTCTGAAGGTTGCTCAGTGGAGCTCCTGGAACGTGCTGCTCGGGTCCCAGCCTCACACAGTGACTCACCCTGAGCCCTCACGTGGGATCGGTTCACTCCCTTTTCTGGGAAAGCCGGTAGGTTCATCTAGTCACACAGGGGGAAACCGAGGCCCACGTGCCCCGAGGCGAATGACAGTTGTGGAGTCACTGCAGGAAACCATGACTTGACAGTCTCTTTTAGCAGTTTTTTTTTCTTTTTTTTTTTTTTTTTTTTTTTTTTTTTTTTTTTTTTTTTTTTTTTTTTTAACGCTATTTATTTTTTTGAGACAGAGAGACAGAGCATGAATGGGGAGGGGCAGAAAGAGAGAGGAGACACAGGATGGAACAGGCTCCAGGCTCCCAGCCATCAGCCCAGAGTCTCATCGCTGGCCCGGAATAAGTGACCTGAGATCGCGGACTCGGAGCCGGTCGGCGAACCGACTGAGCCAGTCCAGGCTTCCTCTGGCATAGTTTTTTTTTTACCCCATGGAAAAAAAAAATCATTTCTTCCTCTTATCTTCTACAAATCTTAATGCCTATTCTGGGAGCACAGAATGATGTCAAAATGTTGGCAACCCGGAACCTGATCAGGCTGGACGGTGAACCCAGCCAAGGGGTACAGAAATCTCAGGGGAGTTCAGGGCTGTCTGCTCTCACCAATTCAGTGACTATTTAGTTAACAGCTACTGTGTGCTGCATTAAAACCCGGAAAACACAGCCCTCATGTCATGGTAATTTTACATTGTAGAAGCAGAGCATGACAAGAAACCCACTTTATAATAATACTGTCTGATCACCATTGTGCTAGAAAAATGCTAAGTACAGGGTGGTAACAGAATGTCATTAAAGTGGGAGCTGACCTGAGGGGGCCAGGCAGGCTTTCTTGAGCAAGCAGAGATCGGAAGGAAAGATGGAGGTCACTTTTATGTTCACGGTATTTAAAAAAAAAAAAAAAAAAAAAAATATATATATATATATATATATATATATATATATATATATAACTTCCTTCCTTCTAGACATTAAAAATGCAGGATGTGTTGCATAAAATTCAGACTTTTATCTTCTTAAAACACGCATGAGGCTTCGAGTGGCTCAGTCAGTTAAGATCTGACTTGACTCCAGGTTATGATTCAATGTTCGTGAGTTCAAGCCCCGAGTGGGGTTCTGAGCTGACAGTGCAGAGCCTGCTTGGGATTCTCTCTCTCTCTCTGCCCTTCCCCGCTCATGCTTGCTCTCTCTCTATATATATATAAATATGTGTATAAATAAACTTTAAAAACACGCACACAGAATGAGGTCACATTCCCACATAGCACCAGGGAGCTGCAGCCGTGGTGGCTGCTGTCCCAGATGGACACCTGTGTCCACACCACCACAGACCCTACTACCCCCTATCGCCTCCCCTCAGATCACTGCACCGACATCTAGCATCTCGCCTGGCTGCCGTGCATGTCCGGGTCCACAGTCCTGAGGGAAATACGTTGGTAAAAGGTGAAAGGGCAGGTGGGACTAAGGACAAGCTGGACAGAAAGGAAATCAGGTGGGAAGGCCCACAGAGGAAGAGAGACAGAAACCCCAAAGCCGTCTTTTAACTTAGTGCTTCGCCCAGGCCCCTGTGGGGAAGGAAGAATCATTATCCTTGTTTTGTGGATACATGGCTTGGCCAGACTCACACAGGGCTGGTGACGGGCCGAGGGAGGACTACAACCCAGGCCATCGGCACTGCCCGCCCTCGGGGCCCAGGGTGTCAGCACAGAGAGGAGTCACAGGGACAAGAGGCTCTGGGGCCTCATTGAGTGAGGCCTTCCATGGCAGGAAACCACCTGGGTGTGGACGAGCCCCAGAGACTTTTCAGCCGAGACAGTGACGGAATCAGAAATGGCGTCTTCAGAGGCTGTGTTCACAGCGTGGACGCTGGTCACGGGACAGCCGCACACACACAGAGATGCAGACAGGACCTTCTCTCCTAGCTGCGCCTTTGTCCCAGGTGGTCAGCCCGTTACTATAGCAACACTAACCAAGCCCCCTGACAGAGGCACGGGCCACTCCTCGATGCCCCTCCTTCCTGTCCCTCTGAGACACGGCTGGCACCCCCAGAGGTCTGGGCCTCGGTTTTCACCATCTTTAAAATGATGGTTTAGGCAAAATGACTCGCAGCTCCCTCATTCCGTGACCCTCGGTCTCTGCCCTGCCTTGCCCACACCTGAGCATCGCACTCTGTGATCCCCACCCCAACCTGCTTGCCCGAATTCCTTCCACCTGTCTGACCTCTGGCGACAGCCACCAGGAATGTGAGTGCTATGGCCTCTGGGTCCTATCCGGAAAAACACGCTCCCCAGTGCCTCAGACATAAGGGCCCTGCGGCCTCCAAACCAGGCTTTGCAGAAGCCACCTGGTCAGTGCCGCACGGGAAACTGAGCTGTCCTCACAGAATGTCACACGTGGCCCTTCACAGCTGGAAAATGCAGTTCTACGAATATCATCTCACCACATGTCCCAGCCAGAAAATAGCAAGTATTTGACTTCAGTTGTGGCTCCAAACCCCATAGTCTTTCCACAGGCTTCCCAAAGACCTCTGGATGCATCACCAGGCACAAGGATCGATCTTTTCAAAGTTTTTTTTTTTTTATTTTAACGTTTTATTTATTTTTGAGACAGAGAGAGACAGAGCATGAGCAGGGGAGGGGCAGAGAGAGAGGGAGACACAGAATCTGAAACAGGCTCCAGGCTCTGAGCTGCCAGCCCAGAGCCCGACGCGGGGCTCGAACTCATGAGCTGCGAGATCATGACCTGAGCCGAAGTCGACGCTCAAGTGACTGAGCCACCCACGCGCCCCACAAGGATCGATCTTAAGAATAATCTAGACAGAGGGCTCGTGGGTGGCTCAGTTGGTTGAGCATCCAACGCTTGACTTCAGCTCAGGTCACGATCCCAGAGTCTTGAGATCGAGCCCCATGCTGGGTTCTGTGCTGAACATGGAACTTGTGTAAGATTCTGTCTCTCTCTCTCTCCCCCCCCACCCCGCCTCTCCCCCCTCCCTCTCTCCCTCTGCCTCTCTCCCCTGCTCACATCCTCTCTGTCTAAAATGAAAAAAGTAAAAAATTTAAAAAAAGAAAAATTTAGACAGGAATTGAGTTAAAACTTCTCACGCACTTATAAGAGGCTTTGCTGATTTCCAAAGTGTGAGTTGGCGAGCAGGGAGGTCATGAGCTACTTGTCTGAAGACAACAGTCTCTGGTCTGCAGTTATGTATGCTCCAGTTCACTCTGGAGTTTTGTTATTTGTTTTGCAGGAGTGGCTTGTGTATTTCATTTTGTCCCCAGATACCTTGCAAGTGAAGTCTGACCCTTTCTAGCCCCTGAACAGCACCAGACTCCTACGCTGACAAGCAGCCTCTCTTTCAGTGCCCCACCTGCTCGTGGGCAGGCCTCCCCCTGACACGACCCCCACCCGACCACCTTGTCCTGACCGGGGAAGGCCCAAAGCTGACTTGCTGAGGCCCAGAGGGCTCCTATCAGCCGATCTCCCAGTCTCGCTCACTCCCCACCACCGTGTCCCTGTACGCCTCCCTGTAGGCACAGGGCTCTGCCGTCGGGTGTTGCGAAAATCCAGACTGCATTCTTTAGCTCCGTGTATCTGTACGTATGTTTGCTCCTCAAGCAGCTCAGGCTGAT